GATAACTAAGTTGAGCACGAAGCTCCTATCTAATGGCAGACGTGCCAGTCTTATATAGAACCTTCGTGTTCCGCCGTCGCCTACATCGCCTGTCGATGCTGTCGACATATCGCCAGCATCGCCTGTCGATACTGGCGATGCAAATGGTCACGTGATTACGATGTAATGAAATCCCTGGATCGCTTAGCTAGTCTAAGCATCCCTATTTGCTATAAGAGATATGATAGTGCTCGACCTGTCAGGACACCGCCTGGTCTTCACTTGTCACATGCTTACGTGATTCGTGACACACTAGGTAAGAAATTTCTCTATTAGCAGAACGATTCAATACATTAGCCTACATTTTCCCCTAATTAGTCTGTTAATTGAACAGTCGAAAATGATTCTCAAAGTCTCAACCCTCACAAGAAACCCCAAAAATGTTTTGCAAACTTCAAACAATGCTTCAATTGTCGGGTATTTTTTTAGGATCTTTCGCAAGGAGGACTACGGGATATCAAATTACTAGCCACACGCCGGGTTTCTATAGGGTCATCCACGGCCCAGATCACCAATACCCAATGTAGACTAGTCTCCACGTTGCAACAAACCGTTCGGGGAATATGATTGGCAGAAGATGACAGCTTCACCTCAGCTGGGAAGCTTGAAAGGCGGCAAGGTACCCGGATCGGTGGCACCAAGATAGATATGACAATTTGTTAGTCTGGACACCTCACCACAAACAGCTCACCATCCATCCACCCACAACGAACGACGAGAGGCGATCCATCCATATTCTGGGTCTTCTGTATTCGAACCCACAGAATATCTCCCTCAGCATTCTACATCAGAATGGCTCCTTTGATTCCTTCGGCGAAATCGACGCTCTCGTATCCTCTCTACGCATGCGATTTTGATCCTCTGGACAGTACGCGCCTGGTGGTTGGTGGTGGTGGAGGCGCGGGAAGAAGTGGTGTTGGAAACAAGATTGTGAGTGGGAATGCGACTGCGAATGCGACACTTGCGCCCATATCTGCTAACAGAATCGTGGGCAGACACTTCTAGATACCACAAACCCGGGCGCAATCGACGAGAGCGGCGAAATCGAGCTGAGCAAACAAGAAGACAACGTCACTTCGTTAGCGATTGGTCAACGTCAGGGCAGGGGCACGACGGTTCTAGCTGGTATAAATTCGAGCCCGAAGGAGGTGGCAGAAGGGACAAATCTACATTTCCGCGTCTTTACCATTGAACCTACGGCGAAGGGGAAAGGCAAGACGAGAGGGAAGGGAAGAGATACGGAGAAACCAGAAAGATCTCTCCCGAACAAAATCACCGAGAAATCAAGATCGTCTCTATTCAAGGTGGTAGACCCCGATTGCTACCAGAGACTTTTAAGATTGTCAAAACCACAGCCAGGCCAGCCACAATTGGGCGCTGTCGCAACTGGTTTGACCAAAGATACGGAAATCGTCCTCTTTGACACCTCAACAACGAATCCACCAAAATCGAGAGGAGGCATTCGCGGAGGAAGAGAGGCAGCAGACATCGATTTCATACAAACCGGGGGCAATGAGTATTTACTGGCATACTGCGACATACACGACGTTTTTGTGAAGAAGATATCTGCAGACACAGACGATGAAGAACCAAAATCTGTATATGAGACACCCGCTTCCAGATCTATCGAGAAGGTTACGGTACCTCAGTTCCGATCATTGAGATGGTTAACAAAGGAATTCATTCTTATGCTCACCAACATCGCCAGCAATGGGGGGGCGGTTCTCCAAATTCTGCGCCTCTCTCCGAGTGGAAAAGGCCAGTGTCGCATAGCACGCTCTCTCCGCTTACCCAGTAGGATATCCAAGGCATCGGGTTTAGCAGTTGCAAATTTGACGCCTCCTCTATCACCTTCCGATCCTCAAGACTACGCACAATTTATAATCGCGGTAGCTGCTCAGGACAACTCGATATCTCTTTTCAAGACCGATTTGTCGGTAGAGATGGGAGTCTCCATGATCTCACAAATGAAGTCTTTCCGAACTTTTAAGGATGATCACCCACATCAAATTACAGGGCTTACATTTTCCAACTTTGTACCGCCAGAGCATCCAATCACGGCAAAAACACCACCTCAACATCTTAAACTTGCGAGCGTCGGTGTCAGCGGAACTGTAGTTGTCCATACTCTCCCGCTCTTCCCAGTGCCTCTTTCCATGAAGCGAGGCCAATCCAAAACACCTCGCTATGTTGTAGCTCTTCCTTCGAGTGCGGCAGCAATGGGAATCAGCCTTATTTTAGTTACGCTTGGGATTCTTTTGGGTGCAGTGTTTGTCCAAGGAGTTCTGGAGATTCGTGGAGGCATCAGCAACTCTATCAACGCACGAGATTATGTTCCCCTCCGGCTTCCGGAAATAATTGGAAGACCTTTTGCATTTCCAGAGAGATATAACGCAGTCCCAAGCTCTACTATATCCCCAAACCCCGGGAAGATCGCCCACAAGCCGGACATGCCTACGGAGCCATCCGATTCTCCTCTTCCAGGGAGCAACACGCTTTTACTGGAGCTTCTTTCAAGTCTCAAAAGTGAAGCTGACCCGACTGGTTCGCCCAAGTATTTCATTCAAGACCACCCGGCGAGCCCGGAGGGCTTCAAAGCCCATATCCACGATGAAGAATTGCACAGTGGTAGTTCGTGGGAGGACATGACGCTCGAACAAAAAGAAAAGTGGTTGGCGAAGCTTAAAGAAGCCGGTTACTGGGCCGAGGATATGGGAGAAACGATCCTGAAGGGAGTCGTATTTGGCACTCTTGGTGGCATGGTCGGCCAGGCCGTTGGCGGGTAGATCCCAAGAAACAAAATATTTTCCCCGTGGGGAAGTAACGCGGGATCGGGGTTATGCGATTATGATAAATGTCTCAGAACGCACTTGTACAATTCACACTACCGGTAGAGGGATACGGCACTATGCTGCCGTATATAATAAGATTTTTGAAGATTTGCAAGTTCTACGCCAGTTTTCCGCCTCAACCTCGTGCCAACAATGAACCACCTTGTTCTGTTTTCGTCCCGTCTGATCCCGTCTACTTCCGTCCCCCATCTTCTCCAACTCTTTAGCTGCAGATCGACCTCTTCCTCCACCGATCACACTCGCCGACCATTCACCGACCAGGGAATTCGTGGAGTAGTATTCCGTATTCACTCCACTTTTACACTAGGTTATCGGCCGGAATGCGGGATTGCCATACCCCGCTTTGCGGGGTGTGAGTTTGCATGGTACAGGGGCTTTCTCCAGCTAGCTATTCTTGGCCAGGCCCAACGTTGTTGATTTGGCAATTGCAGTTCAGAATTGTTGGTTCAACCCCGCAATGTCGGTATAGCGAAGCAGGATATTGCCGTGGGTGTCGTGGGTAACTTGGTGCCTGGGCTTGTCGTGCTTGAGCGTCACCATTCTTTTGCTGGGAGAAGAGGGGGGTCTCGGCTGGATGACCCGTTTAGTACAGCATGATGAGTTGTTTTTCGAAGTTTTCCACCTGGATTAATTGGGACCGACAAGTTGGCTACTACCTGCAAGGGGTTATTAGTATGGATTTTTTTTTTGGATCTACAAAGTACCAAGTCGGACCTTCTCTTGCACCTGGTCCCAGGCAGAACGTGTTTTCCCGCCGAGTCAGATGACATGGAAAGCTTTGAATCAGTTAATCACGGTATGAAGTCATACAGAGTTTTTTACCTTTTCTTTTTTGTGGAAGATACACACATTGCGGGGAGAGGTGGGGAGTGAGTACGAGGGAGTGAGTACGGAAGATTGCGGTGTAACTTGAAATGGCCTTGTATAAAGAGGGGTACTTCCCCAGACTGGAAGCAGCACTCTTGAACACAGGACAGCTCAATTGATCTCCTCAGTCCATCATGTCTATGTCTTTCCAAGCCGCCCGTCTTGCCTTTGTGGCTGCAATTGCCTCCCTCGTTAGAGTAAACGCTGTGGATAATGGATTGGCACGTACACCTCAGATGGGATGTAAGTTGCTCGACTGAAAGACCAGCGGAGAATCTGTAGCTAATAAATTTCCAGGGAATAACTGGAACGCCTTCGCATGCGACGTATCTGAAGAGCTCCTTGTCCAGACCGCCGACCTGATAGTTGGCTATGGTCTCAGAGATCTCGGATACGAATACGTTGTTCTGGATGACTGTTGGTCCGCTGGCCGAAATGCCAGTAATAACAACACCCTCATCCCCGACCCAATCAAATTCCCTCGCGGAATGTCAGCCGTGGCAGAGGACATGCACGTATTGGATCTCAAGTTTGGAATGTATTCCGATGCTGGAAGATATACTTGTGGGATGTATGAGGGCAGTCTTGGACACGAGACCACCGATGCCAACACTTTTGCATCATGGGGTGTCGATTATCTGAAATACGATAATTGCTACAACGAGGGCTACGCCGGAAACCAAGCCATCAGTTCTGAAAGATACCGCACCATGGGAGATGCTTTGAATGCCACTGGTCGACCAATCTTATACAGTTTGTGCAACTGGGGAGAGGACTATCCTTGGAACTGGGGCTCAACTATTGCCAACAGTTGGAGAATGAGTGGAGATATTTTCGACATGTGGGACAAATACGATGCCAGATGTCCATGGTATGTGCTTCTTTTTACAGATGTCATTCGCCTTATGTATGTCATAACTAACGCAACACAGTGAAGGAAAAGATGCTTGGAACTGCGAGCTTCCAGGTTTCCACTGCTCAATCACAAACATCATGAACAAGGTCTCTTTCATTGTCAGCAAAGCTCAACCAGGAGCCTGGAACGATCTCGACATGTTAGAGGTTGGCAACGGAGGAATGACAGATGACGAGTACGTCGCTCACTTCTCCATGTGGAGTGTTGCGAAGAGTCCTCTTCTCATCGGAGCTGATATCCGAAAAATCCTACCCCAAGACCTTGCCATCCTCAACAACGCAGCAGTCATTGCAGTAAATCAAGATCCAATGGGGCAAAGTGCTGGTAGAAGGTGGATGTACGAGACCGAGGAGAATGGCCCTGGCGCTATCCAACTCTGGACCGGAAACTTGAGAAGTACTACTGGAGGCCGATGGAACGATATGGTCGTTCTTCTCATCAATGGCAAGGACCGCGCAATCGAGATGAATGCCACCTTGATCGACATCTTCAGCGACGTGCGACCAAAGGGCAAACCAGCTCAAGCTTCCATGGCCTGGGAAGTCCGAGATCTCTGGGCTGACCGAATGAGTACCGAGAAGGCTGCCGCCATCATCGCTGCTGCCAAGGGAAACTCAACTGTTCCATTCAACGCAACTGCTATCGCTGAGGGAAGATTCAACACTACCCAGACTTCTTATGCCGATGGATTGAAATCAAACAGCTCGATCCTTTTGGGCAAGGTTATTGGTACCGTTGAGCCTCAAGGAAATATCAAGGCTACCGTACCAAAGCATGGTGCTGTTATGTATAGATTGAGAGCGTTGCCTTCCGATAGAAATATCGATGAGTTGTAATGGAAGAGAACGGCTCATGACTTTATGAAAAAGTAATGATAATGCAATATATATTTTTGATTATGTACAAGATTTGCAGCTGAACGTGATGAAAATTGAACACAAGAAAGACAGAGAAGAAAATAGTTGGTCTTTTCCCTATTGGTTTCTAGGGTCGCACACGGGATGCTGCTACCGCCTCAAGAACTTACTCTGATTTAGGTTTTGCGAGATACTAGTGGTCCTTCTGGTTGGAATCGATTATTTTTATGGTTCAGCCGTCTACTGAAGAGAAGAGAATTCAGTATGGACGCTTCCGCTCATTTCTCTCAATTCATTTCCATCAGTCAAGTGATCTGCTTCTTGATACCCCGTGACATCAAAGTTAAATGTTCTGTCGTCGCATATTACCTCTGTTGGTTTCTGAATGCACCCTTATGGATTCTTGGTATATGTCTTGGTGTTCGCGAATTGGATTCTTAATCCGGCCTGTGTTTACTTTTGACCGACTTCGCAATTGTTCTCCAAAAGAAGATTGGCCTGGGTCATCCAGGACGGTTGATTCTTCGGCTGGAACTCCGTACATGCATCTGTCGTGTTTCGATTCCCTCGTATATTCTTCCTTGCCCACCATGTTGTTTCTAATCATGATAACAGATCAAAAGAACCAGGGTAATTACCAGAATACCATTCCCAAACCCCGGAAGCAGTTTATCCTCGTCGGTTATCTTGGACATAATCTTCCACGGGCTTCTCGAAGCATCAGTTTTAGATTATGTACCCGTTGGAGAATGGGCCGTTTTCGTTTAAAGTTGCTGATTTTCAGAATCTTTCAAGCCTTCCGATTCCGGTCTGTTGGTTTGGTCTGGTACAGTACCCCACTACCGTACCGTAAGATTTTCTTATGCTCACTGGCCCGAGAGTACGAGCGTGTCTTCGGCCATAATCAACACATTTATTCCCCTTTGAGGATTGTACGAGTCGAAACTCTTGGCAGACGAAACGTACATCGATAACACACATCATCGTTATCAACCACTACCGTCCTCGTGGTGAATTACTTCTCTCAGGCAAACCCTCTATTCCTTCGATATCACATCTCAAACACTTACCGGTGCCGTTTTGGCTGAGGAATACTGTTTGTGTTTGGCGCTTGACTGTCAGCGCAGCCCAAGTGGATCTTTCAAAAGCTGTGCCACCAACAAAGTACAATTTTTCATTGGGCGGTGAGAAGAGCAGGATGGCATCCCAGTACGCCATTTAATTTCGCACATTATCTACATTGGTGCCGCAGACATACATGAAAGGGGAGACAAGGAGTCCCACGATGAATGAGAGATTGGTAGTCTTTTTTTTTGCTTTAGCGATGCCTTACATGTATGTAATATAGCCGCTATGCACCCGAGTATCTGCATTAGACCAACAACGAACATTTCTTCTCTCATAAATCCTTTTCTTTCTTATGAAACGTTTCCTTCCTTCTCGAAAGCTTGATTTATTTACCTTTATTCGTTTCTCTTCCTGCTCCCTTTCCCACCTTCATTTTGGAGTCCTTCCTCCCTTTCGGTTAACATGAATACTTGTGTGACTAGAACCCATCCATTCTTCAAAAAGCGAAAGCATCACTCCTCATCATGAGTAAACCCATCTTCCTGTGTATACCCGGAGCCTCACATCCAGTCATCATATACGAACCCCTCAAAGCATCACTCTCACTACATGGATACTCGGCTGTGCTACTCCAATTACCTTCGACGGGAGGAAACCCACCAACCTTTGATTTTACCGAAGATTTAGCAGCAATTCGCAATACCGTCGCGCATCTGAGCGACTCCGGGAATGATGTGATAGTTGTGGCTCATGGGTGGAGTGGCGTCATGGCTGGGGAAGCGCTTCAGGGGCTGGGGAAGGTGGAGAGAGAGCAGAGAGGGAGGAGGGGAGGGGTGTTAAGGCTGGTTTTTATTATGGGGTGGGTTGTGAAAGAGGGATTTCAAGGGGCGAGGAGGGGAGATGTATCGTCTATGTTTTCTTACCTTCGTCCGGATCTTCAAGTTAGTACTCAGAGTCTCGTTTTCTGTCTTTTCTTATTTCCATTTTGTTTATTTCCAAGTCACGTTTGTAAGGAAAAGAGAATATTCATGAAATTCGCAAGGAAGGCAGCTTCTTTCAACGGGATATAGTAAGAAAGCCTCCTGCAAAGGCTTTTTGAGTGATGAATCCTATCCCTGACCTGGGCTTCATCGGGCTTATGCGAGTAAATCAAGAATTTCTCAAGCACCAGTCCATCCACCCTCCTTAACATAATTTCACTCACTCCAATCCTCCTCTACTTCACCACACTTCCTCACCACCTCTTCCAAACAACCCCTCTCACACAAAATACCACACGCAACAAGCTAACCAACACCCAGACAAACACAGCAACCCCCGTCCCCGACCTAACAACCACAACCCTCTTCTCCGACATGGCCCCCCAACAAGCCAATTTCTGGACCTCGCAACTACTCCCCCAAAGCCTCGGCGTCTTCTGGAGCCGCACTACCTACGCTGCCTGGCGCCATATTCCGAGTACGTATGTACTCTGTGGGAGTGATAGGAATGTGAGTCCTGACTATGCGGAGGTGATGGTTCAGGAGGCGAGGGATTGTGGGATGGGTGAGTTGAGTTTTCATTTTTCGTTTCTAAGTCGGTTTTGATTTCGTGGCGTGGAGTGGTGGGAGAAGGTACAGTGGTTTCTTTGAAGCGAGAAGTGAGATACTTTGAGTCTTGTAAATATATGGGGTATGGAACCCCAATTCCAATGAATCTGGGTATTCAAGTGAAGACGCTACTCATTCGGGCTGGCTTGACGGTTGTATGGATCTTGGTTAGGGCAATGTCTTCAAGTGAACCCATCCCCAGATCACCTCACTATACTACGCACAACAATCCCACATCAATTCAGACACCCAACTTCACCCCAAATCCTCAAATACACCCAAGAAAGTCCGGCTAACAGATCTCTTCTAGGAAAAGGGAAATGCATGATCGACACAATAGAACGCTGCGAAGGTGCAGGACACGAAGTATTCCTAAGTAGAGTTTCTGTAAGTTTTCCCTTTTCCCTTTTCCCTTCTCTCAAATATTCCTCGCCCATTCCTTCCCCTCAACTCTCTAATTTGAAGTACCTTAACCTTGGTGTTTTCCATGCTAACCATTTCCTGTCCTCGCAGTGGACGGTAGACGTCCTCCGTCGTGCAGCAGGAGAACAGACATAGAAATACAGAATTCTGTTACGTTAGAATACCATAGATACCCCATTATATTAAATCTCATAGAAAGTTTCAAATTGCACTCCCCACCTCTTGACTACATCTCACCATATCTCACCATAACTCTCGCAGTCTTCTTTTAACAAACCTCCAGATTCATAGCTTCCAACACGTCCAAATACTCCAAGCAATGCGAAGCCCCTACAACCATCTCCCTCACCCCCCTCGCCGCCCTCGATCACCCAGCACCTACAATCCACACCCACTCTCACCAGGTAATCATCCTAACCACATTAATATAAACCGGCTATTACCAACCCACCCATCACACATCATGACACCGATGCTAAAAAAAAGAAGTCGGTGTAGCCTAACGGGTATCACAAGACCACCACCCGCACCTTTCAAAAACTCTTCAAGTCAGGTTTCACTTTGAAAATTGGGTAAGATTACTTACTACAAGTGATTATAATCATAGTGCATATCCATATAAATATAAACATACATATCTGACGTGGACTCTCGCCTCCCTCTTCGCTCCGTTACCGGACATTAGGTCTTGTGGAGGGCGCCGAAACGGTTTCAGATGCCAGGGATGGAAGTATTTAGATGAGTTATGGTATAGGATAAGCTTCATATACTTGATTACTTGATTGTACAAGGATCACAAACCACATTCACGTATCCCAAGTCCTTCTCGAGGAACTAAAGGCGTAATAGACCTACCGCTAACCCCACAAATACTCGCTTACCATCGTAAACTTAGGAGACGTATCTACTACCTATACTACTAAACCCAGACGTAAATATCGACGTTTTTTAGCGAAATTTCTTCTCTCGCGATCGATAATAAGGGGCGGCTCGTAGACCTTGGGACAACCCAACCCAATTCTCCTCAAGGGTAATGCTAAGCGAATGCTAAAGATGTGGATCCATGACTTTCTGACTATGACTCACTATACGATCAACATCCCACATCTAAAATCCCATTCCACAACCCCCTATCCATCGAGGAATATTCTTAAGCAATCATATATATATACAACCAATTATTAATCACCCAACAGGAACAACCACCTAATAAATCCAAAGTGCAAGAAGTCGCTAACTAAGAATCAGTATATCAATTACGTAGCTATTCATTAGACTTATTAATTACATACTACATTACTAAGATATATATACTACTAAGCTCTTCTTAATACTTGATACTGAATTTCACAAACACCCCTCTCTCCCTACCTCCACCCTCCAAAAAATCCGATTCTTTCTTACAGTAAAACTCTTATATAAATCTACCTACCTACTAACCTATGTACAAACACCCTATATACCCTATACCCCCTTCATACGAAAACGTAGATAAATCATTAACAACCACCCACACCCTACCTCCAACCACCCATTCTCTGCTTCCCACTCAGCTTCCCCGTCCCTTCCCCTTCCCCTTCTCACCATTTCAGAGAACGGAAAGAAAAGAATGAAGATAAAAAAATGCAAATGCAAAATTTTCCAATAGAAATATAGTTCAACGCCATCCATCCCCATAATGTATAAGAAAAATCAAAATGTAAAAAAACCAATCTATGCACAAATGATGTCTGAGCCCCCCTTTACCCCTCTGTCCCCTCCCCTTCCCATTTTCCCACACCCCCTTGCCCAACCATCCTAACAATGCCATTCATCCATTCATTCGAACCAAACCAAAGTATCATAATACGTCTACTCATCATCCACCAACCTCCCCGCCTCCCACGCCTTCTTCGCCGCCTTAACCAAGCCCTCAAAATCCCCACTCGTCTCACACATCCCCCGAAACACCGCATGCTCGCCCTCCTTCTTGAGCAGCTCATGAGGATGTCCATACTCAACCACATGTCCCTTATCTAGCACGAGGACCTTGTCATAATCCACAATCGTCTGCAAACGATGCGCGATCGTGATGATGGTACTAGTCAGCTCACGAATCGTCTCTTGGATCTTGCTATCCGTGTTGTAGTCGATGGAAGCGGTAGCTTCATCCATCATCAGGACCTTGGGGTTCTTAAGTAGTGCTCGCGCGAGACAGAGGAGTTGTCTCTGGCCTTGGGAAAGATTATTACCGGATTCCGTGATGGGGGAAGAGAGGTTGAGAAAGATGTTCTTGTTGGTGGGTGGTGTAGAGGTTCCAGTTGGTGATGGTGGCGATGTGGTGACCGGAGTAGATGGAGTAGTTGTGGAAGTTGGAACACCAATCAGCTGAACTCTCCTTAAAGCTGTAAAGATGTCTTCATCCGTGAAGAGCTCGAATGGGTCTAAATTCGAACGGATGGTTCCAGTGAAGAGCGTAGGATCTTGTGGAACGATAGTGATGGATTCTCGAAGATCTTGAAGACCGATGAGACCAATATCAACATCATCAATCAAAATCTTTCCTCCTTCTGCCTCGAGGCCACGGAAAAGTGCCAAGGCAAGAGAACTCTTTCCAGCACCGGTTCTTCCCACAATACCAACCTTTTCCCGAGGATTGATCTTGAAGGTTACATTGTTCAAGACCGGATCAAGATCAGATCGGTATCTCGTAGAATAGTTGATGAATTCAACTGATCCCTCGCTTGGCCAATTCAGAGCAGGTCTTGTTTTCTCAATGACAGCTTCGGCCTCCTGCTCTACGTCGAGATATTCCTTGATACGCTCGACCGAGTTCATGTTCTGCTCGTTGACAGCATATAGACGCACGAGCCATAGAACATTTTCTGTGAAGCCCAAGGCGTAACTCAAAGACAACCCAGCGGAGCCAGCGTCAATCTTTCCAATACTGAACACTACGAAAGCGCCAGCAAAGAAAGCAACAAGATCACCAATAACATCAACACGGAATGCGAGCCATCGGTTCGCAGCCCACAGGTAAATGAATGGGCGACTGTGATTGTTGATCCTGGACATGTTGTCGCGAATAAATCGTCTCTCGTCGCCATAAGCACGAATAGTTGTGATACCATTAAGTGTTTCGCCAAATTGCTGGAACAATGGACTTCTACCAACAGATTCGAGTCTCTTTAAATCTCTCGATGATCGTAAATAGAACTTGCCTACGGCAAAGTACATCATACTGATGAAGAAGCCTGCAATAAGAAAGCCTGGAGTGATAGCAGTGATTAAGCTAACAGTGACAACGATTGCCAGAGCACAAGACATGACACCAATAGCGATTGATGCTACTTCTTGGTCAACAGCCTCGATATCTTTGCTGAAACGGTTCATCAGCTGTCCTAGAGGGGTGGCATCAAAAAACTTGAACTTGGCACGCGTGACGGACTGCATCAAGCGTTTATGAATTTGCCAACTAGCTGTCAAGGAGCCAAAGAACAACCAAAAATCTCGGAAAAGTGCAACCAGCATGCATGCCGTGCCTATCAGAGCATATACTGCTAAATAGTAGCCGACATCCACATCTGGTGCTACTTTTGCCAGTAGAGAGGTCTGGTTGGGATCAAAATAGGGCTGCAATTGCGACATTCGCGAGGATGTCATCTTGACAGTCGCAATAGTATTGCCAACAAAAGTGGAAGGGTACATATTGTAATGTGGTTTTACAGAGGCTTGAATGTCGTATTGATTGGCCCATTCCCTGATCCAGATGTTGGCCGCTAAACCACCAACCTGTTGGACACCAAAAACCAATACAGCGAGAACCCAGAACCACCTGTGAATAATTAGCATGAGGACAATTGAAAACTGTAATGGATTTGAATACATACCAAGGTCCCATGGATCTAAGGTAGAGCGCGAGAACAGCCCATTTGACACCACCTTCTGCCTTGGTTTCTTCCATAGCATCCTGTTTGCCAGCGCTCTTGACTTTCTGAAGCTTGTTGATATCTTCACTGGGGTTGGTACCGTCGATGAGCGTATCTCCACTTTCATCGCCGACGCTTGATGGAACACGAGATGGAAGTCGAGATGCGGATGCGGATACAGGACGTGATTTGTTGACATCATCCCCAAGTTTGCCGGAAGCTATAACGTCTTCAGAGGAGCCTTGAATAACAATTTTACCATTATCCATATAGACAACGTATCGAGATTGAGGAACGCAAAGTGCCAGGTTGTGTGTAACCAATATGCAAGTACGATTTTCCATGAGCGGTCCTCGGATGCAGTTGTCAAAAATCCATTTCGCAGTGTGTGAATCCACCGCGCTGAGGCAATCGTCTAGGAGAAGGTGTCGAGAGTTCGAGTAGAGTGCTCGAGCAAGCGAGATACGTTGTTTCTGACCCCCTGAAAGAGTCACTCCTTTCTCACCAACAAGGGTCTTATCGCCATTATCTAGAATTTCCAAATCACGTTCCAATGCGCATGCAATGATGACATTTCTGTAACGTTGTTCATCGAAGGGCGCTGCAAACAGAATGTTTTCCTTGATATCGGCATTGACCAACCAGGCTTGTTGGGCGCAATAAGCGACACTTTCAGTCAATCCGGTATCGGGATCTATTGGGATGTCTTCACGGCTTTGGCCACCACCTGGAAGAGATACCTTGCCATTAATGCAGGTCATCTCACCCATGAGCGCCATGAGAAGCGAGGTTTTTCCAGATCCAGTTGGGCCGGCAATAATGTTTAACTTGCCAACCTGAAACTTGATATTCAAGTTAATGAGACGGAACGCTTCCGAAACATCGTCAGTAGACGTTTCTTTACCGCCCCATGAAAACGTAGCATCCTCAAAGCCGATCATTGGATTACCGTCTGCATCAAGAGAATTGTGGTTCAATTGTTCATACTTCTCTGTCTCTTCCTCATTTAAGAATTCCTCCACACGATCTACAGATACCTTGGATTCAAGCACATGGGCAATCATGTCACCCAATTGATCAAGTGGAACACGAAGAATGGTGAAGAGGGAGATGGCTGTGAAAGCAATTGATGGATACAATGGCTTCTTCTCAATGGTTGTGTAGCAGAGGAAGGAGAAAAAGGTGATGACGACCGGCACGGTATTCCAGACCGCTACAGCAAATGCCCACAGAATGTACTTTTTTCTCAAAGCTTTGAGTTCAATGGCTCGCTTGTCGTTGACAATTTTGCTGAAGCGGTGTTCCCATGCAAAGTACTTGATGATTCTTATATTTTGAAGGACCTCATTGGTAATATGGATTCGTTTATCTGTTGCGGCCATAATCTTTTTCTGAAAGGCTCCGAAACCTCTAGCAAAGGCAATGTTGACAGGCAATAGAATTGCCATGACCACAAGACCAGGAATACTGCTGAGTCCAAGGATTCGGTACAAGAGGTAGATGGCCACTAACAGTTGAGTCGGAGCTGCGGCAAGTAGGAAGTGCAAATATGCTGTAATCTCACTTACTTTGAACGAGTCAACAGACATGAGATTGATAATGGTTCCCACGTTGACTTGCTCGTCGGATATTTTGCTTGCCACAGGCTCATCATTGGTGGAATTGGCGTCCGTGTTTTTCGACTCGTCCTTCTTCTTTCCACCCAGAACTCTCTTGAAAAAGCCAACCTTCTCAGCATTGATTTTGTCCTTTTTGTCACCCAGAACCTTTTCACCCCCCGAAGCAGCCTTTCGTCGCAAAGATTTGGCATAGATCTCTCCAACCATGATTGCGCGCAATCTGATGTTGATTTTTCGTCCTGTCCACAGAGCTTGCTGGTCTGCCAAAGAACGCAGAATATCCGAGAAAGAAAGGAGAATGACGTAAAGCCATACCACATTTCGCGGGGCACTCTCAGGATCCTCAATGTATTCCAAAATTGCCTTTAACAACAATGTAGGAGCAAAAGTGAACATACCCGAGAAGCATGCATAACAGCATTGCACGACAAGATACCATTTGAAATAGCTTGCGAGATGCCAGGTAAGTGCACGAGTTTTTCGCAACTGTCGGTAATCGGCTAGAACTGCGGCAGCTTTGTCTTTGGGTAACAGGTTCCACACGTCGGGTAACTCCAACGTTTTCATGTACCCTTTCCACACAATGGGGTCCGCCCAAGAAAACGTGGCAATGGAAAATAAACTGGCAAGGGGTTCCCGCGAGGGCTCAATATCTTGTTCCCATTCCAAGACCACTGCTTTGTTTCCTTTTCTGCTAGTAATTGCAATTCCAAATACCAGCGTCGTCAGAGCAAACTCTGAAATAATCAAAGCGCGGGCGGTGTTGGATCGAGGGTGGATAATCACTGATCGGAACACGACGAGAGCAAAAAGCCAGAGGGCTGTATACAACGCCGCAGTATGATTCCAGACGCCTGGGATTCTCCATCTTGTCGAGGACAACAACAGCCTGAAGCTTGCCAGCACTAGAATATAAGTCCAAGTTGTAATACCGACCACCGTTGTCAAGAGCCCTTTGGAGCCATATGCCTTGGAGACAAATGCAACGACGTTTATTGCGAGCACGGCAATAATTGCCAGTAGTTCGATCACTAGTATAGTATATTGGCCGCTGGGCCTGTCAATGGCTGCAACCGAGCCTTGTATGGTGGACTTTGCTAGTGCCAATCGACCTCCATTCATCGTCAAGTCCTCATCGTCGCTGCCCACCGCCTCTTCTGCAGTGCCATTCGCATGTCCGTTGGAATGCCCATTTTGATATCCTGTATCGCCGTTTGTAAGACGTTTGTAATTCTCTTTTCGTTTTAATCTGACTTTGCGTGCTATGGTCTGCGATAACAGAATGGAGGAGGAGATAGCAATGGCTATTAACGGGAATAGGACCTTGAGGTAACTGGAAACGGTTAGTTATTTAGTGTAGAATCATGGATTGGCATGGACTCCTACTCTCTCTGGACGCAATTCGAAATGTCATCGACCTGCCAGACAGGCCCGTGGCATTGTCCCAGCATGATTTGTGATTGTGTTTCTTAGTCCCGTCCAAGTTGGGTGGGGTGGGATGAAAATGACGGATGATGACGACCGGGGGCGAAAGAGTAAGACGGTTATATGGTCGGTAGTGTAGCACTCGTATGGTTGGTGTATGCTAAGGGTATAGGCGTACGATTATGATGTCTGACGTCTGCAAAGCGATGCCCGTGCAGAGTGCAGATTGCAGTTGCAGTATTATAGTGATATCTGTAGTGGTCGCGGTACTGTAGCGGTTGCTAGAGTTGTCACTCCACGGCAGTACGGAATGAAAGTCCTACGCCTGCTCTGGTATCGACATGGTGAGCGATGGCAGAAAGGCAGATGAGATGAATCACAATCAGGATGAGAGCGGAAATCCCGAGGGAAGTTTAGTCGGTCGGCAGGTATGAAGGAAGAAGCTTTTGTTCATCGGCGAAAGAGTCAACTTTCTAGGGCGTTCTCGTTCTGCCCAGCACCAGCACCAGCATGCGACCTCGACCTCCACTTCAGATACTCAATACCCCACTTCTATCGCGCTCCGCTCATGCCCAGCCTGCAGGGTTTCCACCAACACACTGGGGTCTTCCAATTGCGGTGCAGGTGCTTGCTTGCTGACATCTGCTCCATTTCTCTAGCTACAGTATTTACGTAGGCACATCCAACCCGAGCACCTGAACACACCGAGATCGCTTCATTGGCGTGTATTGGTGTTACCTACCTGACTAGGCAAGGATTTCTGGCTTCTACAATTACGATACAACAATTTCAATTTCACAGTCCATCATCAATTGACGTTTCCCCCAATTTGAAGATACTATTCCATTCTCATTCCCCTAACGATCTATTGTTTGTCAACTTCAGGTTGTCCATATCACCATGTATCCTCCCATTATTGACATGTTCCACCCTTCCCCTTCCCTTCCGGGAGTTTCATCTGGTGTACTTGTAAGCATAGAACATAGAACATAGAACATAGCAACAATCTCGCAATCCCCAAATCGAGTACGCCGCTTTTATAAAATACCATCTTGAACATCTCCAGCCACCATCCTGGTCGGCAAAAATCATCTGCATTATCAACCGAGGGAATCTAAGGTTACGAGAACTCGGTAAAATGTAAATATAGACAAGCACCTGCTTGCAATATCCTTTAACCCATCCTTGACCTCACGGTCAACATTCTGCCCTGTGGCGCTAAAGAGCGTGGGGGCTGTAAGTGTTAAGTCGGAGTTAAAGAAAGATAGTTGTAGAAAGATTTGAGACTTGCAGGTGAAAGAGCACTGTGGAACTTGATAAATTGATGTTGAATATGTGTACTGCAATTGCAACGCTCTTTCCCGAATGGTAGATGGAAAAACTGAAACTCGCCAATCCAATGCAACCAATGCAACCAAGGATCCCAATGCTGAAAGTCTATCCAGTACTCGTACATCGCATCTTCTACTCTGGGCCGTCTATCATCATCACATCTAGCAAAATCCCAAAGCTCCAATGCCCTAACAATACTCATGTCGAATGCGCCGCTTGTACCGCTATCATTTGGTACATACACAAACAGCGGTGGTTTGGGACAGAGGGTTAGCCGGTCTATCACACTCCGCATCAGTATCCGAGAAAGTGTACCAAGGAGAAAGACATTGCTGGATAGGTATATGATCACTTACCTACACATTTTTTTTAATCCATTAGCACATTCGGGACAGTCGGCAGTGGTCTTGCACGTCACTTGCGCTGCCTCTGCTACGCTAAAGAGCGTGAGGGCTGTGAGGAACATTTGTGCCATGGAGAGACGCATTGCTGAGCAAGAGAAGTTTGAAATGGCTTAGTTGATTGGTATGTGATATAGGAGGATAGTTGAAGTGGATACTTTGAGGCTTAGTGAGAGTGGTAAGACTCGAAAGGGGGGTTAGTGGTAAAAGTTGACTACATATACTGTTTTTACCCAACGAGAGCGGGAACGTCACGACGGTCATATCAGTAGGATTCCAGAAACACGTTAGAAAGAGGTGAAACTGGCCTTCGAATAACGAACAAAAGATTCAAGGTGTACCTAACTCCCCTTTCGGCCGTTTACCATCCCATCCAGGAAGATCCCTACCATTTCATCTGTCCTCTCCGAAAAAGACGGGATGGCAACCGTTGACTCCCTTCGATTGCATCCAGGAATCGAAAATAGCACCGAAGTTTGAATGTTCAAAATTAGGTGGCTGGTACAGAGCGTACGTACACTTGGTGTTGAGTACACAAGCCGTTGCCGTTATTTTGAGTCACACCGAGGAAAGGTGCTACTGTAAGATCTAGACTTGGATTCGGCTCCCGCGCCGTACCATCGGATGTACATGGAAGTATATGTACAAAATTGCCAGAGGGATGCTGGCGAGAATACCCTTCTCCGCCGTTACACGTACATTTATTTGAGCTGGGAAGTCCTTGTCGAGATATTCTATCAACCTTCCAGAGCCCACCGGTAAGGCGGATGGTCGATAAGGCGCGCCCAAAACGACTAGTGTTTCTGTCAGCAAGTCGTTATTCTTGAGTTTGAGACGAAGTCACCTTGACTTGGTATCAAGATAAGCTTTTGTCGCCCACAACTGGGTGTGCAAACAAATCCGACGAAATCTGGACCTCGTCCCAATTGAGCCTTAGTTTCATCCATTCTTTCGCCGCTAGCCATGCTTCATGTATATTTGCGACTGGTGTCAGTCATGCAATCTTTCATGGTTATAACCATGAATTCGCACGTGTAAAGGGAGTAAAAAGGACACTATCACCACTCTCGGCGAGGATAAATTACTTTCCAGCAAATAGCTTCCCGAAAGGCAAAGTGTAATCCCCACCATAGCTCCCCGACCGCATTGCAATTCATCGCACCTCGTTGGCTCCCCTGCACACGCCCACCCATTCAGCCAAACTCAATCACCAGACCGACTGCCGACTGCAGAAGCAGAAGCCTTCCTGGGGCTTCCTTTCTGGTACCGCCACTCTCCAGATTCTTCCAGGAACGATGTTTAATTGGATCTTCGGTTCCACACACCGCTTCTTCGGCTTCCCAGCGTCTTGTCACGATGGTTTGCCTTTGTGAAGAAGCTGTGGCACTGGAACTGAATGGCTTCGATCCGGGAGGCCAGAATGCGGAGGTGTGGTGTGGTGCGTTGCGGTGCGGCTAATTTGAGGAGATAAGGAGATACTCGTAGCTGCATGAGCATGTAGAGGGACTTGGAGAGGAGTCATTGGGCAATTGCAAGTGCAGGTGTAAGTGCTACCAGTATTCCGTGAACGAGCGGAGCTTTGTATTCAAAGCTGGGGTGGGGGGTTGAATGGTTACCTAATCAATAGAGTATAAGTTTGTAGGTAGGAACCTACATATCTACCTAGGTAAGTAACTTTGGGGTTTAAATAGTAATGAAAGGTGATGGATTTTTGCTTTAGGGTTAGCCCTAAGTTCGAAAGAAGTTTCGGGTATCAGCACTACTGATGATAACAAAGTGTTGGAGCGCAGCGAATCGGGCCTCCACGGCAGTGGCCCTCGGAGAACCAGCGGAGCGTCATTGATGACGCTTGCGGCTGGCTGGGAGTGTTAAGAGTAGCTCTTCTAATATTCTAGAAGCAAAATGTCTGCTCTAGTGAGTATCTGATGGGCTCTCTGTCAACGTCATCATTGGTCAGGGAACTTGTGTAACCCAGGGGCCAGGTGGAGATGAAAATATTGGTGTTGTAGTAAATTTCCCAGCACTAGGTGCTTTGGTCATTTGTAGGTATTGAATAGTGAACTCGAAGCGACTAGTGAATACAAGTACTATATCTCCGAATCAGATGGCCGATGTAGATGGGCTCTTCCAATTGTTTTTGAGCTTCCTCGCTTCACCTGCTGTGGCCGGGCCTAGCTTGACCTGGCCTTATTTTCAGGGCTGCCCCGAAAGACATACAGGTACAGCCTCGGCCAGACCCCACTTGATCCTTGACCTCGATCGCAGGCTCTCAACTCCAACACAACGCCATAACTTCAACAGCTCCATTACGACCTGCGACTGAATCGCACGACTCCCAAAGGTCTCCTATTTATTGTCGCAGCTTCGAGAGCATTAACGCGACATCAAAATCGACATCGTACTTAACTCATCGCATATAATTTCCCTGGGAAACCGCCTCTCTAGCCATGGCCGCCCAAGACCCCCCTCTCGATGAAATGCAATGGCGCTCACCACCAATTGCCGCTGAAATGCAAGGAATACACTCCAACTCCGTCCTCTTCTACTTTGCGAGATCTCCCTTCTTCGACGGCACCTCCAACAATGCGGTTCTCTTCAATCAAGCTATGTTCAACCAAAACATGCTCCCCATCATTCAGACGCGCGAAGCTTTCGAAGGGCGGTTGAAAACCATGTCAGGATTGGAATTTATTGTCGCACAAGAGCCCGCGGATATGGTTACCGGTACTGGGGTTTGGGTCATCCGAAAGCAGAGACGGTTAAAGAGGCCCGGTCAGGAGGACCAGCTGGAGGTGCTGTCTACGTACTTTGTGGTGGGGGAGAATGTATACATGGCCCCTGCTGTGTCGGATGTACTTGCCAGTCGAACGGTTAGTGATGTTGATTCTATACTGATTTGAGATCATGTGCTAATAAAACCAGCTTTCCATTCTAACGTCTCTCAACAAATTCTACACAAAAGCCGCGAGCCTACCCAATTTCACGCCTGCAATAGGTTCATCGTATATACCACCGCCAACCGGACGAACCACAGTAGCGCAAACGCAGCTCGGTCAAGCGAGCAAAGAAAATACACCTTTACCCGACTCTCAAACCACCAAGAAAGCAGGTCTTCCATCCCCCGATAATAGCGCATACCTGCTTCTCAACGAATCCATCAGAACCACCATGAGATACGAGAGCGATTACATGGATGAGAATCCAATCACCGGAGAACCAGGTGCTTTTCATTTCTCCAACTCTGGAAGAATCGAGAAGGACAGTAATAGGCTGGCGACACCTGCGAGTGCGCCATTAAATACTGCGGCAATAGGAGGAAAAACTCCCACACAACCACCGCCGCCTTTAAAGACGGATATTGAACCAGTAAAGAAGATGAAAGGAGAGAAGACTCCAACAAAAAGCCCGGGAGTTGGGAAAATGAGACGAAAGAAGAGTAAAAGTCATATTACGACAGGACCGATCAGTCCTACCACTTGATCTTGTTTTCGGTGCTCAGGGGCATTGAGCTGCATTATATGGCGTTCTGGAAATTGGCATTTGCATGCGAAGGAATATACCCTTGAAATATTATATGATATGCGTGCTTATGGCATATAGGAAAATGAAAATTACAACAAATTCTCCATACATCCTTTGTGACATATATTCTTTTTATTTCTCGCTTTTTTCTCAAGCGCCGTCCGAGATATGTACAGCTAACTCATCCAACATATAGTGACATACCTCTACCCCGACACCTTCACAACAACTTTCCCAAAATGTCCCCCACCAAACAAATACTCCAGTCCCTCCTTCGCCTCCTCAAATTTGAAAACTCTATCCACAACAGGCTTCACATTCTTCTCCGTCATGAAAGCAATCATCTCCTCAAACCTCTCTTTGGGGCCGTTTAAAATCCCCTTCAAAGTAACATTCCGCAATAATGCAAGCACATTGGTATTCAGGCGATCACCAGGCGCGTCTTCCTTCCCGGATAGATACCCGATGCAGTTTATCAAACCGCCAAATTTGATGCAGGCGAATGAGTGACGTAGCGTTAGGGCACCTCCGTTTTCGAAGATTATATCTGGTCCGAGTTGGGAGGTTAGGGAGAGGGCTGTTTCGTCCCAGGAGGGGGTTGTGGTGTAATTCATTAGGTGGTCTGCACCGAGGGTTTTCGCTTGTTGGAGTTTGGTGTCGGAGGAGGATGTTATGATTACTGGGGATGGTTAATACTCGGTTAAAGCAGAACAAGAGGAAGGCAATAGGATAGAAGGGATAGAAGGGAAAGGAAAGGAAAAGATATACCCCCAGCACCAGCCGCCTTCGCCAAAACCAACCCCATCACCGCAACACCCCCGTCCCCTGAATCAAAACCCTCTCGTCCTTTCCCCCGGGCTTTCCCAACTCTCTAAACCCATTAAGCGCCATCCAAGCCGTCACCCCAGTAATCGGCAGCGTACACGCCTCCTCATCACTCAAATACCCCGGCTTCCTCACCAACCCCTCCTCAGGGAAAACTCTATACTCCTGTAAACACCCTTCCAATGGCAACCCCAAACCGGATTTCATATCCTCCTCCACAATCTGCCCGCGTTGATGCGTCTGGTTAAAAATGGATAATACCTTGTCGCCGACGGACCAGAGAGGCGAGGAGGAGAGGACTATGGTCCCGCAGATGTCGGAGCAGGGGACGAGAGAGGGGGGTGTGCCGCCTGTGGTGTTATGGTGGTTGTAGAGGCCCATGCAGACTTCGGTGTCGCGGTAGTTTAGGGAGACGGTGTTGATTTTTACGAGGACTTCGTTGGGGCGGGGGGTTGGGAGGGGGGAGGTGGTTAGAGTTAGGTTCTGGAGTTGGTCTTGGTGGGTGAGCCATTGTTTGTTGGTTTTTGGGAGGGACATGGAGGGTTGGGTTGGGTTGGGTAGTTGTGGGAAGGCGGGGGATGGCATGTGTTTGAGATGAGAGGGAGAGGGAGAGAAGGGGACTTGGAAAATTAAATAATGGTTCTATGAATGAAGTGGTCACTTATTAATGGCATGGGATGGGATGGTAATTGAATTGCTCATTGAGGAAAATATGTTTACCCCACCATAGCACTCGTCATCTACTCCATCGGAATTCCGTCACGATAAGAAGTGGGGGAATCGAAAGAACCTTGCTACTAGAAACTCGACTCGAGATCGGCACAGTCAATGAATTTCATGACCAAGTATTCCTCACATAACGAAATCTAAATACAGACCATGCTTTTCTAGATACCTGGCCTGGACAAGAAAAAAACACTTTCCCAAGCCAGCCCATGCGTTTTCGCTAAAACGTGACGATCGAAGGGGAGATCTCGCTAACGAGCAACGCCACTTCCAAGTCCTCAAACCTACTCTAGTACGAGTACAGGCACAAGTAAAGATCAGGAAAACTCCTCAACAACCCACTCACAAAAGGCTTCCCACTCAGATTTCCACTCCTTCAACCGCTGAGCCCGGATGCCTTGTCCGTTTTCCGCGTCGGAGATACCTTTTTGCCATTCATCTTCGGTTTCATCTGTGAATGCTGCCCATCTGATGCTATTCTCGGCAAGGGCTCCCTAGATACTATCATCAGCCATTGCTCTCCCAGAAAACTCAAACAAAAAAACAAAAAAAGAACAACGTAACAAGGTAACAGTAAACAACGAAGAAAAGAGAAATCAAAAATTAAAAAAACACTCACAACCCCCTCCCCCCCACAATCCTCCCACCCCTGCAAACACAACCAAAAATCACTACTCAACCCACTCGTCCCATGTCCCAACATCGCCGGATCATCATTACTAATACAAGCGCGCACACCCCTATTGATCAGTGCCGGCAGGGGGTGACTCATGATACTGGCCGTGTAGCGCAGGACCTCGTTGCTGATGGGACAGCTTTCCACAAGGACATTTTGGGATTTGGCGAGCGAGATGAGGAGCGGGTGTTTGTAGAGGCTGAAGGCGTGGCCGAGACGTCGGGAGTGCAGGAGGAGTGCGGTGTAGAGGTTTTGGTCGGTGGGGGTGCCGGTGCCTACTGTTTCGCCTGGGGGAGTTGTTAGAGGGGTTTTTCTTCTGAGGGAATATGGGTGGATAGGAGGATGGGACATACCTGCGTGAAGGAAGAGGGGGATGTTGAGGTTTCGAGTTAGGCATTGGGATTGGAACCAGAGGAGTTCTGGAGTGAGGGATTCGAGGGTTCGGCCGGCGTCTTCTTGACCTACTAGGTCGTATCCCGATATGAGATTCGGGTACTGCTTTTTGAGACGAAGACAATGCTCCATATCTACCGCAATTAGCATACATGATATAAGCGAAAAGCAAAAGAATGACTGCATACCAACAAGAATTTTCTCCGTCTCCCAAGTCCGAATGGAACACCAAATTATTCTCGCACCCCAGAACCCCGGATTCGCTTTTTTAAATGCTTCAATCTCCTCTTCTACCACTTTCAACAACTCATCTGGATCCTTAGGCTTGGTCATACTCTTCTCAGGATAATACCCCGTGAAGGGCGCACATCTGATTTCCACCCACCTCACTCCATCCTCTAACAAACACCTAAAGAACTCTTTCATGAACGCTCTAAGAATCGGCTCGTAATAAACCAGTCCCGGTAAGATCCCAAACGCCGAGTTCAACTTCCGCCACACATCATCAACACCAAGATGCTGTTGCAACGACTCAAACTGCGTAATTGAACAACGATCCTTCATCCAAGAAATAAACCCCTTTCGTCCTCCATCAGGAAAAGTATCCGCCGCAATATCAATAGCAACACAAGTCCCCCCCACATACCCCTCCTCCCAAATACTCTCCTCCCCCCCTCCATCCCCCTCGTAGTACAAAAACCTAACCTCCGCCCTCCCCCTCACCACCTCATCAACAAGCGGCACATCAGAAACAAAACACATCCCCTCCACCCCCAGCGCCGTCTCAAGAACCCACTCGATATCCACCATCGCACCGAGATGACAGTGCAATAGGGCACCTTTCGGCATCTTTTTTACGATTCGCCAGAGTTGGGTTGTTTCTATGGTTGGTTTGGCGATGTTGAACATCATTCCTGGGAAGAGCTCTTCTTTTTTGGGGGAGGAGGGGGGGGAGGTGGAGGTGGTGGACCATTTTGTGGTGAGTTCTTGGGTGCGGATGTGGGATATTAGGGTGCTTGCTTTTTGGGCAGTAGGGGAGAGGGAGGCGCGGAAGGGGGCGTCTGGGTTGAGGGTGTTAGATGATTTAGAATAGAAAGGGGAAGGTAAAGAGATGTGTACCGCTGCGTTGGGAGCGCTCTTGGGATATTAGGTCTGCGCGGGCTTGGATGAAGGATTGGATTGTGGGATGGGAGGTGTTTGCGAGTCCGTTTTCGAAGATTGGAGGGTTTGAGGTGGGAGTTGGGGGGTTTTCACCCATTATGAGAGGGTTGAAGGTGGTGTGAGAAGTTGATATATTGCTCTATGCTCGGCTGTTTTCTATGGTGGGGTTTAGTGAGTTATCTTAGGTGCTAGGTTGAGAAGGTGGAGGGTTGTGGGAGATGGTGGGCAGGTCTATATATATGAACAAATTTCGCTTACCAGTTCTCTTAGACGAACGGGCCCTCTTGAAGCGAAAAGGGGAGAGAAAAGCAACCGAGAGGCAGTCGAGTGGATGTGCCTAGCCCTTTTGTTTCCTGGATATACCTGCTTCTTCTTTGAGATACACTCACCGCTTCTCTAATTGCTCTTATCTAACGAAGGGCGAAGCCAATTGTGATTTCAATTCTTGTAAGTAACGGGATATTTGGAGAGAGAAGATCTAAGTAGATCTCAAGAAAGGCTCGTATATGGTTTGAAAACGGGATATGACTTATGTAGCATACAAACCGCAGGTATCGGATGGCTGCAGGTGAGGTGGCAACTCGTGACTCATCTCACTAGTAAAAGTGGGGAAGACGGGAAGGAAGATCCTCGAAGTAGCAAGATAGTATGGAAACATACTTCTTCAAATGGAACTTGGATATACTATTACGGAATATATAAGTTGTAATTCAAACGTAGCTTTCTAGGTATACTAAGAAAAAGTGTTAACGATTAAGATATAACTACCTATTATAATAATCGCGCTTTTAAAGCGCTAACTCTATAGAAAGATTATTATTAAATACCTTTTTAGTATTATATAAATTATTTATATACGCTAAGAAGTCTGATATTATAATCGAAGAAGAGATAAAAAGGTAGACTTTTAGAAAGGTTGGTAGAGTAAGAATAAATATTAAAAATAATAGTTATATAAAAACAAATTTTCTGCCCCTACATAGATGGCTAATTAATATTGTAGATGGCAAGATATACTGACTATTAAGTACGAATACCAAAAGAAAATGGTGGCATAGCCTATATAGTCACTCAAAGGATATTCAGCTTTTGCACTCAAAGGGCGCGAATGTAGGGAAACACTGAGGGATACGTGTATGTAACGAATACTCAAACTGGCTAACTAAACTTGGCTGGGTGTTCGCTGGTTGGTATGCTATGATAAGAAGAAGACTATCGGGTTGTTCACTTGGAAGTGAACTCGTTACTTGTATCAAAGATGTCAAACTAATATGATAAGATTGATAACTAAGTTGAGCACGAAGCTCCTATCTAATGGCAGACGTGCCAGTCTTATATAGAACCTCCGTTCTTTGTTCCAACAGTTGGATCGCTAGAGTCGCTCGTCTACCGAGTCGACCCAGGCGACTGGAGCGCTCGTCGCTCCAGGCGACCCAACTGTCACGTGATTATAACCAAAGGAAATCCCTGGATCGCTTAGCTAGCC